TTCAGAAAATAGCTCCTATGTCCTATGTGTATGAAGATATGAAAAAGTCTGGGAGGCTACATGTTAAAATCTTTTTTTGTTGTTTTTTTGTTTGTTGTTTTTGTTTTGTTTTGTTTTGGGGGGGTACCGGGGATTGAACTTGGGTCCTTGCACTTGCAAGGCAGGCCACCAAACCACTGAGCTAAATCCTGGGTCCCATATTAAAATCTTAATGGGGCTGTTTATGATGAAAATAAAAAAAGAATCCAAAGGAGTGAGAGTTGTCTGTAAGGGATGTTAGTTTTACATATTGCTTCTTTATGTCTTTAAGGAAAGAAAAACTGGAAGTAAATATCATAACTTGTTGGCAATATGTACTTCTGGGTGGTAGAATTATAAATTGAGCTTGTCTGTCCTTTTAAAATCTTATCAGAACAGAAAAGAGTTAAGCAACATGTAAGAGTAGGACTTTGCCTCTGTGTACTCTGTGAGCTCCTATCTGGCCTTACTGGAAATATTTGAAGCAATTAGAAAGATTCACTATGAAGAATTTTCCATCAATCGCAGAGTCCCAGAGGTCCCAGATCAGGAATTATAAACTGTATTTAGTAGTTAAAACTAAGACATGATAGATAATTTGGTTAAGAAATGAATCTGAGCAACTCTGTGAGCAGGAGACCTTTTCATCTGAAGACTTTGACTTCTCCCTCTCATCCCACCTCCGCAGCTCACCTCTGCTTTCAACCTATGTCCTGGACACCTACATGGGACATCCCCTTATTCCTTCCCTTGTTCCTTTAGTTACTACTCCTGTCCATCCCCTTTGCCTTCCATGAAATCACTCAAAAAGTGAGGTCCTTTTTCTAAGTATTTGTTGCTGTTGAATTTTGTACTTTGGATTAAAGTCTATTTTCAGTATAATTTTTATTTTTATATCAAAAATTGGGGCATTGACCGTTGTACTAAGTAACATCCCTGGCCATTTTAATTTTTTTATATTGAGACAGAATTTCTTTATTTTGCTGAATTGCCCAGGCTGGGCTCAAGCTTGTAGTCCTCCTGCCTCTGCCTCCCAGAGTTTCAAGATTACAGGCATGCACCACCATACCCAGCTAATTTTGATTCATTAATACTTCATCAGGTTAAAATTTAAGGGACAGTCAAAAACCTACTTTGCACTTGGATATTTGTCTATTATATTTATTTTATTTAAGACTTCAGATCAGAATAAATAGACTTCACAAGCCAATAATAGGTCTTAAACAACATTTTGTACAAAAGGATATATGAGGAGGGAATCATTTAAAGCAAATTATTTCAGGTACTAGGGAAAATTACCATTAGTACCAAATTCACATTTTTTTCTTAGAGATTCTTCAGAGATGCTTATTTTTAGCTTGGACTCTGGACTATCCCTTAGGCACTTACATTGACATATGAATTTGTCAGCATTTTGGACCTCTGTAGGAGGAGACACAATTCAGGTACATTTTTGTGGAATATTCCTTGAGTCATAAGAGGCAGGAAAAGGTTGAAGGGGAAGGAGTGACAAACTCATACAAGAAGGCATGGATGTGTGGAGGAGGAGGTGTCCAAGGAATTATCAGCCCTAACTGTCAAAGTAAATAAAGAATTAGCAGAATAAGTGTTACTGGCTGCTCAGATCCATAAGCTCACCATTCCCCAAAAAATACAAAGGAGTTTTCATTTATTCAGTGGAAGCTCTGTGGAGATAAAGGAGCTTCATATAGCCAGAGATCACCATGTCACCATTCTTATTTTATGTTCCCCTCCCCCTTCCGGAAACCAACAGATCTCCTGGGGCCCACATCTGCATATTCTGTCCCTCTGGGCTGGGGAGGGGAGAGGCATTTACACCCCAGGCATGAAGACTTTTAGAGTCACAGCTTGACTCTAAAAGACAAAAAAATTGCAACCTTTAAAGATCCATTTTTGCCTTATTGGTTAGTGGATAGAATCATCTTTTTTCTTCTCATTTTTTTCACACTCGTTTTTTGTTATTATTTCTATGTATAGTCTTCTCCCTGATCATTTTTAATATCACCACATGGATGTTAGGTAAAAGAGCCAAAAACACAGGACCAGACCAGCACCATAACAAACCTTTATTATGGGGAGGATCTGCTGGGCTGTCTCTGAACAGAGAGAGAAGCAACATGGCAGCACAGGGAGCTTCTTTTGTAGGAGAAGGCTGGGTTAGCCGAAACTGGGGTGGAGTTGAGTGAGGTAGTTATTAAGAGATTGGAGGAACCTGTGACATCAGTAGCTGTTAGGAGGTAGCAAGTATTAGGTTATTTTTTTGGTGGGAGAAGAGGCATGATGGGAAGAAGAAGCCTGTCCTTTGTTGGGAGAAGCCATATTTTAACATGGAGACTGCTAGTCTATGTGGCAGCCATCTTAAGACAAGGAAAATCTAACAATGGATAGGAATTCATGAAGAGTATACAGTAATTATTCATGTGTGTTTTGAGTCATAAAAAATGATAATTTTGTCTCCTCCATCACTCAGCTCTGCAAAATCTTGCCTGCTGCCCTTTGGAAGGCTCCAAACACTCTCGACCTGCCCCTGACCCCCTTGCTTACTTACACATTTTGCTACTAATATGTTTGGGTCACAAAAGCAGGGAGTTTCGTTTGTTTAATGTTTTTAAGTATATGTTTGTGATAACACAATAAACATACAGTGGACCCTTGATTTAGGAACTCATTGTAACTCTGTAAGACTTGAATAGGCTAAAGTGACTCCATGCTAATAGGCCAGACTGTGCTTCTTCATATGCTAATTGCTACCTTGGTTAACAGCCCACCCAGGGGCAAATGGTTTGACAAAAGGTGACCGTAGAACATTTCCTGCATAAGATAAGCAATGTGTTTGCAGTCTTGTTCTGTGAATTCCCTGACTCTTTGTTTAGAAAAACCTTATAAAAGGCACCTCAGCCCCTGAGCAGTTGCCTCTCTGAGCCACCTGGCTCTGGGAGTGCCGTCTGGCCAGACTAATAAAGGTCTTTTACCATCTAGCCTGGTGTGTTCCTTCCTGGGTTTCTCGGTTCTCTGTCGTGTTCCCGGAGCCTCGCTGGGTGTTAGGGCCCAGCATCGTGGAGGCCTTTCGGCTGTTCACGCTCCGTGAAGTGGAAGTGAGACCTTAGGTCTTACAACTCAAGTTGTCAGTTCAAGGCTCAGGCTCCTCTACACAGCCTTCAAAGTCTCTCTCCTGTATACAGGCAGATCTCAGTGTCCTTAGAGAGACACTGGCCCAGGATTTCTCAGTTAACCATGAAAAGGGGTTTGCGTGCCCTTTCAGGTGTCCCTTCCCAATTAGGCCACTCACGCACCGAGAGGTCCGGCAGGAGATCTTTATTGTAG